TTTCCAAACCTCATAACACCCTTCATGGGCGAAACCTTCAGCAAGACCTTCTCACTAACCATATAAGACACATCCCGAACCTTCCGGTCCGCATAACTCTTCTGACGCGACTGCGCTGTACGAAGCCTCTCTTGAATCAGCTTCACCTTCTCTAAGGCATCTTGAACCAAATCTGTCCCCAACAGCCTAGCCTCGCCGGGCTCGAACCAACCAACTGGAGATCTACACCACCTCCTATACAACGCCTCATACGGAGCCATCTGAATGCTCGACTGATAACTGTTGTTGTAGGCAAACTCTGCAAGCGGCAAAAACTCATCCCAAGAACCTCCAAAATCAATAACACAGGCACGCAACATGTCTTCCAATATCTGAATAGTACGCTCAGACTGCCCGTCCGTCTGAGGATGAAATGTTGTGCTCAACTCCACATGTGTACCCAACTCTCGCTGAAAAGTCCTCCAAAACTGAGAAGTAAACTGAGTACCTCTATCTGAGATAATAGACACTGGAACGCCATGCAATCGAACAATCTCCCGGATAAAGATCCCTGCCAGCCGCTCCGAATAATAGGTAGTACACACCGGAATGAAGTGCGCGGACTTGGTCAGCCGATCCACAATCACCCAAATCGAATCGAACTTCTTCAAAGTCCGAGGAAGACCACTCACGAAATCCATAGCGACTCTCTCCCACTTCTACTCGGGAATAACCATCTGCTGAAGTAAGCCACCCGGTCTCTGATGCTCATATTTCACCTACTGACAATTGAGACACCGAGCTACATACCCCACAATATCCTTCTTCATTCTTCTCCACCAAAAGTGCTGCCTCAAGTCCTGATACATCTTCGCGGCACCCAGATGAATAGAGTACCACGAGCTATGGGCCTCCTCCAGAATCAACTCCCTAAGCCCATCCACATTGGGCACACAAATCTGGCCTTGCATCCTCAACACACCATCCTCACCAATGGTCACGTCTCTGGTATCATCATACTGAACCCTGTCCTTAAGGACAAGCAAATGCGGATCATCATACTGGCGCTCTCTGATGCGATCATATAAGGAAGACCGAGAAACCACACAAGTCAACACTCTGCTGGGCTCCGTAATATCTAATCTCACAAACCGATTGGCCAAAGCCTGAACATCAACTGCAAGGGGCCTCTCCCCAACTAGAATGTACGCCAAACTCCCCCTACTCACTGCCTTTCGGCTCAAAGCATCGGCCACTACATTGGCCTTTCCCGGATGATACAGTATGGTGATGTCATAATCCTTAAGCAACTCCAACCATCTACGTTGCCTCAATTAAGATCCTTTTGCTTGAACAAATGCTGAAGACTGCGATGATCAGTAAATACCTCGCAAGATACGCCATACAAGTAATGCCTCCAAATCTTCAATGCTGAACTATGGCAGCCAACTCCAAATCATGAACAGGGTAGTTCTTCTCATGGGGCTTCGACCGACGAGAAGCATAAGCAATCACTCTACCCTCCTGCATCAATACACAACCAATCCCAACTCTCGAATCATCACAATACACTGTATAAGAACCTGAAGCTGATGGCAAAACCAATATTGGAGCTGTGGTCAAAGCTGTTTCGAGCTTCTGAAAGCTCTCCTCACACTCGTCCGACCATACAAATGGAGCACCCTTCCGAGTCAACTTGGTCAAGGGCGATGCAATGGATGAAAATCCCTGAACAAACCGGCGATAATAGCCTGCCAACCCAAGAAAACTACGAATCTCTGTGGCTGAGGACGGTCTAGGCCAACTCTGAACCGCCTCTATCTTCTTCGGATCAACCTGAATATCCTCGCTGGACACCACGTGTCCCAAGAAAGCCACTGAACCGAGCCAGAACTCACACTTGGAGAACTTTGCATAAAGCTTCTCCTCCCTCAACCTCTGCAATACAACTCGCAAATGCTCCGCGTGCTCCTCCTGACTACGCGAATACACCAGAATATCATCAATGAAAACAATAACGAAAGAATCCAGATAAGGCCAAAATACACTGTTCATCAAATGCATGAACGCTGTTGGGGCATTAGTCAGCCCGAAAGACATAACAAGAAATTCGTAATGACCATATCTAGTCCTGAAAGCGGTCTTAACAATATCTGAATCCCTGATCTTCAACTGGTGATAGCCCGAACGGAGATCAATCTTGGAGAACACCCTCTCTCCCCCTGAAGCTGGTCGAATAAATCATCAATACGAGGTAGAGGGTACTTGTTCTTCACTGTTACCTTATTCAATTGCCTGTAATCGATGCACGTTCTTATTGTGCCATCCTTTTTCTTCACAAACAGAACCGGCGCACCCCACGGTGACACACTAGGCCGAATGAACCCCTTATCTAGGAGTTCCTGAAGCTGATCCTTCAACTCTTTCAACTCTGCTGGTGCCATACGATATGGCGGAATGGAAATGGGCTGAGTGCCCGGCACCGGGTCAATACCAAAATCAATATCCCTGTCCGGTGGCATGCCCGGCAGGTCTGCAGGAAAAATATCAGGAAACTCCCTCACAACTGGGACAGAATCAATGCTAGGAGTCTCAGCTCCAACATCCCTCACGAACACCAAATATGAAAGACAACCCTTCCCAACCATACGCTGGGCCTTTAAGAAGGAAATCACTCTACTAGGAACATAATCAGTCACACTACGCCACTCGATCCTCGGTACACCCGGCATAGCCAGAGTGACTGTCTTGGCATGACAGTCCAGAATAGCATGACACGGAGATAGCCAATCCATGCCCAAAATAACATCAAAGTCCACCATGCTCAATAGCAATAGATCCACTCGGGTCTCCAGACCCCCAATAGTCACAACACACGACCGGTACACATGGTCTACAACAATAGTATCGCCCACCGGGGTAGATACGTGGACAGGTAAGGCAAGACACCCTCGGGACGTACCCAAATGATGAGCAAAATACGAAGACACATAAGAATAGGTGGAACCGGGATCAAATAAGACAGAGGCATCTCTGTGGCAGACTGAAATAACACCTGTAATGATAGCATCTGAAGCAATGGCATTTGTCCTGCCTGGAATAGCATAAAAACGGGCCTGGCCACCGCCTGATCGACCTCCCCCTCTGGGGCGACCCCTGGCTGCCTGACCTCCATCCCTAACTAGCTGGACAGGTGGTGAAGTAACTGAAGCAGAAGACGAGGGCTGACCCCTCTGCTGAGATGAACTGGCAATACGACGAGGACATTGCCTCCAGACATGCCCAAACTCTCCACACTCACCTGGGAGTTATTTTTACTCTTGAGACATGTGGTGATGTAGAATGGAAGGTTAGGTTTATATGCATTTCTGCTTTTATTGTGTAGTGAAGTAGTGGCATTTTCGGTATGGAGCACGTTAATTTGGTGGACCAAGATCTTCAACTAGTCTCTTAAAATCCATCTAAAGGAAAATCTTCTAGTATATATACCAGGCTTGCTTTTGTGATAGAGGAGTTCGAATCACATGAAGGTTAAATACAAATATTATTGACACTCAACTTGCACGATTTGGCAAAAGAGGCCCCCTCTAATTAAACTTTTCTCAACTAAACATTTCTAATGAGTAAAAAACAAGGCATAATTAATGTATCCGACCTTTGACCATGACTATCTCATCACCACTCTAGTGTACACAAAAGTTAACCAAATAGTACAACCAAACAATATCAATTATACTAAAAGATTAAAATTTTGAAAATAGAAATGGGAGGAAGAAAAATAAAAAAGTGGAATAAAATATGTACGTGAAAGCCTCAAAGAATTGTACTGTGCGCTACAGCCAGACACTCAATCACAGTTTTGCACTTGTACTATTGAAATGTTAAAAAGTAAGGACATAATTTCTTTTTAAAAAAATAATTGAAATTGAAAAGGGAGATGCAAATCAAAATGCACGCTTTTTCCTTCGAAAAAACCTTACATATTGATAGTAGCATTGTAATTACGATAAAGAGGTCACTCTAATTTAGATAACTAGCCAGTCCATCACTATTATTTATTCCGTTTGGTATTTCATGTTAAAAAGCTATTTTTTAGGTATACACTTTATGCATTGACATCTAGAGTATATTTATACGATAAAATTTATTTAGCAGTACAATTACAAGTAACTCCATAAAATATAATGCATTTGATTAATAATTTAAAAAAACCAGTGCTTAATATTCTCTAAATAAATATTCCCTCTGTCTCATAATATCTGTCGTATTTCTTTTTTGTACGCCCCTTAAGAAGATATTAAATATGATTTTTTTACTATTCTACTCTTATTTATGCCTTAAGATATAATCTGTCTTTATTTAATACTTACTCATTTGTAGTCTTCAAGTACAATTAATATTAAGGGTAGAATAAGAAAAAAATAATTAGTTTACTCTTGAACTTCTAAAATGATAGATAATTTGAGACAACTAATTTTAGAAAGCACGACTGATAATTTGAGATAGAGGGAATATATTACAGTAGTGTATTTGTTTGTTATCCAATTTGATACTCAATTAATTAAAATAAAACTTTTACTAACAAAGATGATTTCATTAAAACTTTGGCTAAGTATGGGGTGTACTTATAGCCCGTTTGGCCAAGCTTCTAAAATCAGCTTATTTTGAGAAGTGCTTTTGGTGAGAAGTAGTTTGTGTTTGGCTAATTAATTAGAAAAGCACTTTTGAGCAGTAATTAGTGTTTGGACAAGCTTTTGAAAACTGCTTCTAAGTGTATTTTTCTCAAAAATGCTTCTCAGAAAAGTACTTTTGGAGAGAAACTACTTTTTTCTGCTTCTCCTCAAAAGTTCCTTCCAAAAACTTGGCCAAACACCTCAATTTTTTGCCAAAAATGCTTTTGGCCAGAAAAAGCCCTTTTGAGCCAAAAATAAAGCTTGGCCAAACAGGCTATTAGCCACCTCACAACTTTGGTGGTAATAGTGAACTTTCTCACCAAAACATGAATGTTTCTCTATTTATACACACTTTGCTCTGTTTGTTGTGACAAAACATATTTCCCTTCTACTGGAAAAGCGTATTAGTACAACCGCATTGTTCACATCGAAAGCTCTTCTTCTCCTGCTGCTTCTTTCTCAGTAAACCATGCAATCAATCCAATCTCCATCTTTCCGTCCATCTCCACTCGATCCACTTAAAAAAACCGTCCCCCAATTCACCAATGTTAGGCCATTGAGTCATGCTAAAAGAGTGCCCTTTATTTCAGCTTCAGCTACCACTGTTTCCGCTCCCAAAAGAGAGAAAGACCCAAAGAAAAGGGTTGTTATAACTGGGATGGGCCTTGTTTCTGTATTCGGTAATGACGTCGATACTTACTATGACAGACTTTTGGCTGGTGAAAGTGGGATTTCACTCATTGATCGTTTTGATGCTTCTAAGTTTCCCACGAGATTTGGGGGACAAATTCGTGGGTTTACATCAGAAGGATATATTGATGGGAAGAATGATAGGAGGCTTGATGATTGTCTTAGGTATGCCATTGTTGCTGGGAAAAAAGCTCTTGAAAATGCAGATCTTGGTGGTGACAGACTTGGAAAGGTTTGGGCTTTTTTTGAATTTGTGTAAATCTGTCACATTGTTTTTTCTATTTGATGAATTTTCTGGAATTGGGCTTGCATGATGTGTTTTTGGCTCGTGTTATTTTGTCCATTCCTTTAGTTTTATTTTTTGGAGAAGTGGGCTTTTTTCCTGATAATGTGTTTATTTTGGCTTTCTTGGTTTGTTATTTTGGTACTTTTAGCTCGTTTTTATACAGTTTATTGCTTTTGTCATTGGGATTGCATGATGTGTTCCTTTGTTATTTTGGTATTTTGGCTCGTTTGTTTATGCTCTTTTGCTCTGGTTTTGTAAGCCTTTAACTATAAAGGTAAAAGCTTACTTTAACATGAATATAGTAGCATAGCTAAGTGTGTTGAAGGGGGTTCAATTGGATCCTGTTCGCCGGAATATTACACTGTACAAACTAGATATAAACAAACTTTTTTGTAGATATATGTGGATTGTTGAATCCCATTTATAGTTAAGTGCATTCACTCATTGTGCAAGTTTATGTTAGTTACTATCTTAGTGATCCTAAACTGTGTAATATTCTAACCGAGTCCTTCCAAAGGCGGATCCAGGATCTAAACTTTATTGGTTTAGATTTGCAAATCTACAACATCTTATCTAATTTAATGGGTTCAAAATTATTTGTACATATTTAATGATTTTTGGGGCAAAAATATTACAGGGTATGAACAAAACCCATAGCTTCTACACTAGAACGCCTCTGAGTCCTTCCAGAGCATTTGGGAGTTCCAGAAACAGTCAAACTACTTTTGTTCGCAAAACAAATGTTTGATGGTGCATTTGAAAAACATGATGTTAATATTTAGTATAACTCCTTGTTCAGCTTTCATTGTTTATCTAGATTTGTTTCTTTTCTGCAGTAAATGACTCTAGGTTGTTTACTTATAATATTCTGCCTGCAGATTGATAAGGAGCGAGCAGGTGTTCTGGTAGGAACAGGAATGGGTGGTCTTACGGTTTTCTCAGATGGCGTCCAAAACCTTATTGAAAAGGGTCACAGGAAAATTACTCCATTTTTTATACCGTATGCCATAACAAACATGGGTTCTGCCTTGCTTGGTATTGATCTTGGTTTTATGGGACCAAACTACTCAATCTCAACTGCTTGTGCTACCTCCAATTATTGTTTTTATGCCGCCGCGAATCACATTCGCAGAGGTGAAGCTGATTTGATGCTAGCTGGTGGTACTGAAGCTGCCATAATACCTATTGGATTAGGAGGTTTTGTGGCATGCAGAGCTTTGTCTCAAAGGAATGATGATCCGCAAACTGCTTCCAGACCATGGGACAAAGAAAGAGATGGCTTTGTTATGGGCGAGGGGGCTGGAGTCTTGGTAAGTTTCTTGCAAGTGATGATCATATTTTGATCGTAGGAAGTGCATCTAAGATTTGTATCTTCTTTGGGCAAGTTATCTGTGGTCCAGTGTAGTTTGCTTTTCATAAATTGACTCCAATGCTGAAGCAACTAATATGCAATAAACTGCTATCCATGAATTGCTGGGCTTTCTTTCATTGTGCGTTACTGCGTAATTTAGATTAAGCACTGGAGATTATGTTGCTTTCTACGATCTAATCACCATTTGGAAAGTCATTATGAAGACTCCATGACATGCTTGGCAGGTGATGGAAAGTTTGGAGCATGCAATGAAACGAGGAGCGCCAATAATTGCAGAGTATTTGGGTGGTGCAGTTAATTGTGATGCTCATCACATGACTGATCCCCGAGCTGATGGTCTTGGTGTTTCGTCATGTATCCAGAGCAGCCTTGAAGATGCTGGAGTGTCACCAGAAGAGGTATTTGCTTCTCTCTCCTATCAGTTGAGGTTATACTCTCATTCTCTACTCAATAGTCAAAGAGAGGGGTTAAAGAAATGCTGGAAAGAGCATACAGCTTTAGTTGTTTTCCTTAAAAAGTTTGAAATTTTTTCAAAATGACAAAATGTTATGTTGGGCCACTAGGCCCAAGATTCTGTCATATTTCATACGTTTGCTTCTCAGAATGCTTCTGTTGTTAGGGAAGGTTACAATGGAGAGAATAACTGTTGACATGAAAGAGATTTTTTATCGTGGCTCATGGGCCTTGTTGTAGGACATTTTTGTGTGTTAGTTTTAGGCTGAATGGGAGTAATTGTGGACGAGTTAATCTTCTTTCTTTAATAGTTTAAAAATAACTTCTTGTAGCATCAGAATTTATTCCATGTCGATTTTCTGCCCAAAGACTCTTCCATCCATGTCCTGTTGTATCTTTGAGAACAAATGCTACCTCCCATATGAGGTTTATTCTAAATTCCAGATTCCAAGTAAAGACTACTGCCCTCCGTCTTTACTAGATAAAAACCTCTCCTATTGAGAGTAAATGAAAGGTAACTAATCAATAATACTAATCAATTTTACTGCCGGCAATCAGAAAAATTGGATTCTTTCACCATCAACCACAATGCACCTAAAATGCCTGGAAAACTCGTCCTAGATACTAACCCCTCTATGCTGAGCGATGACTCTAACACTGCTTGAAACCGCAGAGGAATGCCGTAAGATGCATCAATTGTTTAGAATCAGCATGCCATCAGCAAAGGGTGCAGCTCTATTGCCATCATTTTGCTCTAAGAAAATCCAGATTTTCTTGTCCCATACTTTTCTCAAAGCCTTCACGATGAGAATTGAGATGTAGATAATACAGGATTCTTTACCATCCTTCAAACAGCCTCTCTACCCCTTCGGGGTAGGGGTAAGGTCTGCTTACACACTACCCTCCCCAGACCCCATTAGTCTAATGGGGTCTCACTGGGTTGTTGTTGTTGTTGTTGTTGTTGTTTACCATCCTTCAAACTGGTAGAACTGCCATAAATAAGAATGAGGAAATTCGAGGTAGATATCATACAACCTTCTCCATTTTTCTCCTACTGTTCTCTTGATGAATTAACGAAGTCCCACATTCACATTCTGGTAGAACCCTAGATGTGCTTTCGTATAGTACTGATTGCTATTGGTTAAATTTAAAACATTGAATATCTCTAATCCTATTTAAGACGCTCAAGCAGAACAGAATGGATATTAAGAATTCATATGGCCAATCCCAACTAATTTGGATTGAGCGTTGTTGTTGTCTATGATGAATCAGCTGAAGGTGAAATTGTCTGTTTACGTTGCCATCCAGAATCTTAGAACCTAGTTTAGGTGGATACTTGAAACATTCAACTTTGGTGATGTTAGTCTTTGGAGAGGTGCATAATTGTATTGGGTAGATTTTGCTGATAAGTTATACTTAGTTGGGTTTGGTTACTGAGTTGATCCTCTCTTTATTCTTTTCAGGTTAACTACATCAATGCTCATGCAACTTCCACCATTGTTGGTGATATAGCCGAGGTAAATGCTATTAAAAAGGTATTCAAGAACACCTCAGGAATCAAAATGAATGCAACCAAGGTAATTCTGTCGACATTGTAATGCATCTCTTCATTTATTTGAATTTATTGGAGTTTTTGCCAGTATGTTCAACTTTCAAGTTTTTTGTTTTCCGTTCTTTTCCAGTCTATGATAGGGCATTGCCTGGGTGCTGCTGGTGGTATGGAAGCGATTGCAACAGTTAAAGCTATTACAACCGGCTGGGTGCATCCTTCAATTAACCAATTTGTGCGTTGTTCTATTTCTGAAACTTGGATGTGAAATGTTGGTTGTTATGCTCATTCTTCATTTACAAATCTCTTAACTTTAATGAATATTGCAGAATCCTGAGCCTTCAGTGGAGTTTGATACCGTTCCAAACAAAAAACAGCAGCATGAAGTGAATGTCGGTAAGATACACTTTTAAATTATGACACTGTACTATCTTCTTGAAATAAACAGTAGTCAGGAATAATTGAAACACATCCAACTTTCCACGTAAATGCTCAAGATTAGCAAAATTATTTATGAAAAGAAGGTAGCTCCAAATAAATGGGCCTTGTTTTAGTAACATCTATTTCTTTCATATGCAGGAATCTCAAATTCCTTTGGTTTTGGTGGTCACAACTCTGTCGTCGCCTTTTCTGCATTCAAGCCTTAATCCAGCTCACTTCAGCAAAGAGCAATCCTCCTTTTGAGGAGGCATAATATAGAGAATTACTGTGAAACAGAGGCTGCTTCATCTCCATATGGCTATAAACAAGGCGCGGCGAGAGATGAACAATTGTCAATTCTTTTATGTAATAATTTTTGGCTTGTAGTTCTTAGCAATGAACATTCTGACTTTTCGCATGTGTTTTCACTCCTTAAATTAGCTTTTGGACCTTCACAGCTTGATTAGGCAACAATGCGATCGGTTTTGAATTATGTGAAAGATGTGAGATTTGAAAGATGCTATGGTCTTTTGGAGCATATTTATGACAGGAAAAACTAATATTTGTTTTTGCATAGAGATGTTTAGATTAAAGAAGACTTGTTAAATTTATAGAAATCAGAAATTTAAGATACAGACGGCATGTTTCTGATTGCTATTTTTACATGATGAAATAAAAGATGAAAATATATGTCATTTGAGTTTATATAAGTTAAAGATTTTTTAAGAAAATTTCTGAACAAATCAATCCCCTGTCCAGAAGGAAAATGAGAACTGCTCTGGGATTTGTATCAGTAGGCAGCCAGCCATTTTCAATGGGTCTGCAATTTGTATAAGCAGCTTTATTCATTTATTGTACTTTCTCCAAGTAATGGGTCGCCCTTTAGCCAGCTTCGCCAAGTAGGCTGTTGTTGACTTGTCTTTGAGTTTTAATGAAGAAATTATTTCTGGGGCCCGCGCTAGTGCATGTAAATCAAACCAATACGAGTGTCTCCTTTTTCTGAATTTTCTATTATATAGAAAAGGAAAGATGGTCAATCAAGGGTATATATGTCATTTCAAATAAAAAATATTGTATTGTTTGCATTTCTTAAATGCAAATTGTGTCCTCCTTGATATACGTGGACCCTACATTCCCTTGACCATATCACTCCTTTAAAAGTTTAAATGTATTATTAATTAGACTACTTTTGCATAGAGTTACTCCATGCAAATACTCATTTTGAATGCTTTTCATCATTTGATAAAACTATTAGTTTTTATTTTAGTCAACTAAAAGTTTTCACAGAAAACGTAAATTTTATTTTTAAATAATAAAGCAAAAAAAAATATAGATAAATATTTACAAGATTTTTACGTTTACCCATACTATTTTAACACAATTTAAAAAATAAAATTAAAATATTTTCATGTATTCATACTATTTGAAGGCGATTTCAAACCTAAAAGTTTTATATTCAAAAGTAATTTTAAAAATTATAGTTTGTTAAACCTTAAAAGTTAATTTAAGTGATGATATTTGTTCATTTGTTCTGGGAGGTTATCTCTTACGTACTTAATTGATGTGAAAATTTGATTTATATGGTTTGAACTCCATTCTTCCATGATAAGTTTTCAACAATCTATAAATTATCTTAAAATATTTTATATTTTTCATTATAATAATTAACATATGATAAATCTATAGAAANAATTAGTTTACAAATAGATTGGTAAGTTTTTTATTGTAGAAAAATTGTTAATACAAATTACACTTGTACCTTTATGTATTATCTTGTTAAAAATTCAAATATAGTGGGGAAATAATACCATTCAATCAATTTTACAATTGATGTTTATATTTTACATTGATGTTAAAATGAGTTTTATACCACATATTCTTTTTATGTTAATAATTGGAGCAACTTAAGCAGGTTATAATTTATAGTTTAAGTTTTTGTAAATTATTAAAATAAATTAATTGTAAATTGTGATCCCCAATATCATTCTCTATCAGTTATTAAATGGATATAACAATGATCGATTTATTTATCAAAAAACTAATTGAGTACCGGCATACAACAATTTTACGATTACAATGTTGGGCCCATATACGGGCCTTTCCTCATCTAGTTATATATAGAAGAGAGAAGAGGTCGACCAATGGCATCTTTGCAAATCAAGCTTTATTTAAGGGTAAAATGGTAATTATGTCACGATCTAGAAGGATCCTTTTTCTTTCTCATCTCTAAAAAAAAAAAAAAAAAATAGAGCACCAGCAGCTAACTATTTTCTTCATCTTCTCTTCTGGTACAATTTCCTTTCAATTTTTGCTGAAATATTTCTTTGTTGTCTTTGATCCTTCCAATTTTTGGTCTACCTTTGTTATATTTGTGTTGATTTTTGCCCGTTTCTTGAAGAAATCCAGTCTTTTTTGCTTCATTGTTATTTCCTTAACATTGTCTTTTGCTTTTCTAATTTCATTAGGTTGTTCTCTCTGTATTTCCAACAGAAGCTTCTTGTTTCTCTCCGTCTCCCTCACCCTCTCAGGTAGTTCTTGAAGCTAGCATATACATCCCTTTTGGATTTTATCTTACTTTCAAATTTGCAAGGAAGATTTTCATTTCTCATAAATAAGAGCTCTGTAATTGAATTATTATCAAATTTTGAAGACTTTAGCGAAAATGTACATCAATTGCCTTTTTCCTAATCCTATTATAATTTCAATTTTGTTTTATGTATAATATGCTATTAACTGGCATGTTAGTTTTTTGGTCCGACGCTAGAGGAAATATGCTTCTGCTCTCTCTTAAATTGTGTGCTATTGGAGTTTGTCTTTACTAAAAATTTAATATTGATATAGTGCTCCAATCAGAAGTGGTAGTATATTAGCATAATGAAGAATAGCAGAAAGTGATAGCACTCTGAAACCCACCAAACCTACAGGTACATCTAGGGGCGGCAAAATGGTTAAAACAAAACAGTTAACCACCCATATTATCCATTAAAAAATGGGTTGGATAATGAACTTTTTAAAAACGGGTCAAATATGGATAAGAACCATATTATTCATTTAGAAAATGGATAACCAATAAGTAACCAATGGATAACCAATGGGTCTAACTTTTACATTTGTAAAGCCTCAAATTGGGGGTTCCTCAAGTTAGGAAGACTAAGAATTCTCCCAAAAGTGATCACATACAAGAATTCATGAATAATATGGGTAACCCATATTATCCGCCGGTTAACCCGTTTTCTATCCGTATTAAATATGGGTCGGGTCGGGAATTGATCCATTTTTTCATTACCCGTTTTCAACCCGAACCATATCTGACCCGGCCCGCCCGTTTGCCACTCCTAAGTACAACTTAAAGGCAATGTTAACTAATAGTTATGAGTAACTTTCAGAATTGAAGGCTTTGTAAAACTTTGAGGTCCATCCATCCTATGCAAAATGAAAAAAAATTGAATAGAAATTCCCTCTATTGTGCACAGACTAAAGGACTAAAAGCCTGAGAACTTCAAGGTTTGAAGATTCCAGATTGAACTATTCCAACGGGTCTTCAATTTGTATGCATTTTTCAAAATGGGTATAAATGTAGCTATAGTGAAGTTACTCATTTGTCAACGAGTATTGTTGCTATAACTACCAAAGTTCCATTTTCATTTTGATCATATATTTGGTTATACAAGCAACCAACAAGCGTCAAAAATTCCTTTTATTTTTCCCCCTATCCTTTTTCTACCCCCCCCCCCCCTCACAAATTTAGTCTTTATCATACTCTAATTCTTTAATTACTAATTTTTAAGGTAAAATTTTCTTGAAGTTAACAGTTTGAACAGAATGAAGGCGCAAGCTAAGATAGTTCATGCTAGCCGATGTTTTGGCCAAATTGCAAATGCATGATGGTATGCATGACAAAATTGAACATTTTTTACCAAAAGGTGAGCGATTAGATTTTCATAAATCTTTTTATTATTAATTATTTCTTTATTTCTTTGAGATTGAAGGGTAGTTTTTGTTATCGTAATTTTTATGATAGATAAAGATATATCGATATTTAATCCTTAAATGAATTATTTTAAGAGATAATGGAATCTTTCTTCCAGTTTCTCGCTAAGAAGCTAGATGGACTTTAATAGCTTGACGAAAAAAATAAAGTTCTGAACTTTATAAGGTTTATCAACGCTTCATATATACCATTTTTATTTTTGTATCAGATGTCTTCTTAGTGATCTACGTCTACTTAGCAAATTTAAAATATTTACACACTTGGAAAACCTATTAGGGATTTCATGAGCCATGAACCTACTTCAGTGGAAGAAGCTTCCTCTTTTAGGGCAGAACATAAACTATAGAGTTAGTATCAGTATTGTATTAGTGCTTTTGATAACTGATAAGGCGTTATTGACTAACCACATATATTTCTTCTTCAGTAATTTTCGCATGTGCTTAGATACCAAGTCACAGAATCTATAGGTAGCAACTTGCTCCTCTGCTTTAGCCACTTTCTTGATATCAACAGATAGACACGCAAAAGTAGCATTAGCATCAGTTTCCATTTGAACATGAAGCTCGCCATATTGCCACCCGTAACTTTTATTTTAATCGTACATGGATCTTTTACAAGTTAAGCTTTGGAATAAGCCTCCCACACCATTAGATGTCATATACAAATTCCACAGCATCACTTATGGTGCTTGATTTGTAATTAACTATCTATTTGGTTGGTTTTGCTTTTATTACTTGTTCATTTATGTGGAGTAACTAATAAACCAAGTACCATGATCTTTCTGGGACATGTATCTCTTGAAATATATGCTCCAGAATTCAAGCATTCTTTCTGAACGCTTTTATGCTTGAGAATCGAGATCATCTTTAACGTACTGATTTTTTAATTCCAATGAAACTGAAAGATTTTACCTGAGCGGCATGGAAGTGGAACACCTAAAAAGTACTCTTTGTGTTACAGTAGAGAAAATAACAATTGTGCCCAAATGTTTATATGGTTGTAGCTCATAAACTATTTGATCAAGAATTTGATTGTTCCTGTATTACTATTATTTTAACATATATATGATTGGAATGAAGGTTCATTCTAGAAACATCGATATTGGTGTCAGATAGATTTCCAAGTAGCTAGATATTTAATTAGCGTATGCTATCTTTTTCTGTTCTTTCTTATTGCTCTCCACCTAAAAGTCCATATAATTTGCTTGCAATTTACTTTAAGTTTGTATTTCATTCAAGTTTTTTGTGTGAAAGTATAAGTGGTGGATTGATATACCATCTTAGCATATTTGGCAGGGATAATTCACCTGACCAATTGGTTAGTTCATAATTGTTTGGTTTGTTCTACTTTTAGTACACTACATGAAATACACAAGGAGTATATGATTCATATATATTTGTAAATATAACAATTTCTGAGGGCCATCGGACTGGGTAAAACCTGAATTAACCGTGATGCACTTGCGGGAAACTCCTTGCCGAGGGCCTGTGCACCCCCGGGATAGTCGGGGCTCATAGAGACTCAGACACCCGGTGCAAATCAAAAAAAAATATATTTGTAAATGCATTTGCATATATGCTATTTATTAACATATATGAAGTATGTCTTAGGAACATGCTTCTGCTCAGTATCTTGGCAGCACCAGAATTTTCTTTATTCAGGGGGTTATATTTTATCTCTAAGATACCCTTTCATTGACGGAATAGTGCATTTCTTTTTTGTCATGTCTTCCTTAAGATAATGTACTTTAAATTAATCGACTGATAAAGAAGATACTTACTTTTGCAGGAGACTTCTGGTAATTTTATTATACCACAGATTTCCTGAAGTTACGATATTCATATCCCGCTCAACCAGTTCAAACCAGTAAAGACACTTATTAAGACCAAGTAACCATCAAAGCATATAATTTGGATAAAGATGTATGAAGGAGTTGCATCACCTATTTATCCGGCCTTATCTATGGGAACTTAGTCATGCAGTAATACTAGCTACTTACTAGCAGAAGATATTTCAAAAACTAAGTCATGAACAAATAATGCCTTTGGGCTATCATTTTGTATGGTTTACCTTCGTGGATTTAATTTTCTTGAGGGAGCGAGATTCATTTGTTCCTGAATGCAGATTCTGAATATGTACATGTATGCTCTTAATAGTAGGTGGTCGTTAATGTTTGTCACTATTTACTAAGTGTCCGTTTGAATTGGCTAAAAAAGTGTTTTTTCAGCAGAAATAGCTTACACCAAAAAGCAATAAGTTGGGGTTGCACAACTTATTGTTTTTGGCTTGTTTTAAGCAGTTTTTAACTTATTCTAAGCATTTTTTGACTTGACCAAACAATGAGAAAAGCTAAAAAGAGATTAAAAGCTGATTTGACTACCTTAAAAGCCAATCCAAACACCTTTCATGAATGGAACTGTGCTTCTGTATTAGTGAAAATATGGTTGTTCCAGGATATGTATTCCTATTTAGGGTTCAAATCGTAGATGTAGCTAAAGATTATATATAAATTCTCTCAGCTATATCAAAATTTGAAATGTTGGGCCTGTGCTATGCACAGACAAACCTCATAATTTGAAATGTTGGGCCTGTGCTATGCACATGCAAACCTCATCTTGTATGTTTAGAGAAGGTGTCTATGAAATGAGATCCTAACTGTCATATATGGGGCGAACTCTTGTAGTCTTCTTTTTCTATGTTTTTGTTCTTTCTTGTTAGATTTTTCCTATTATGTGTATGACCCAATATATTAAAGCCCATAACTAATATTTAATGAAAGACAAATCTCGTCAGTCTAATCGGTTACTTGATGGACGTACCGGATTAAGTGAGAATCTCTATAAATTGGTCCTCTCCCCACCCATTAGGGTTATCATATTTTTCTATTCTCTCTTCCATCACTAAAGAAACCAATTCCAACTAACGCTTCCGCTTCGTGATAATGGCTTACGATTCAGGTATGTTTTTTCTGTAACAATTTTATGTAAGATTATCATGTTCAAGATCCTGGTATGAATTGAAGTTTATGTTTTACATGTGGTATCATCAACCTGGGATTTGAATTGATAATCTTCGTGAAAGAATGTATTGTTAAGCAGATATATGACTATGCCGCCTTACGAATTTTTGGTACCGTAGTTACGAACTACATTAGAGTTCACTTTATTTACTTTATGCAATTATTGTTTCAACCCATTAGTAATAGCTATTTAGTTCTTATTTTAAATGAATAAAATAAGTAGTTGCTATATTTTGGTGCTTAAAATGTCCAGATATGTCTAATTATATCTTTTAACTTTCTAAAACATGATCAGCCTTGAATATTGTAAGATTATTCTGTTTGGGAAAAGTTTATGACGAGAACTGTGTAAGCAATTGAGGGTCATGGTTTCTATTCTTAAACAAATAGATTAAGTAAAAGGAGTTTGGATGTTGAAGCAATAGAGACGCCGACCCGTAGAATGTAATGTTGAAGGTGCAGTGAGTTATCTCCTTTAGGGTTGTCTTTTCTTTAAATATTATATTTTAAAAAAAATTATGATAGCTAAAATGTGCCAAAATCTTCAGAGATGTCCTAATGTAATAAACGTAAAAATAGCACGGTATAGCCAGTTTTCGGACTGGTCAATCAAAAATAGCCAGCATTTACCAAGTCAATAAAAAATAGCCACTATTTTGCTGCAATAGAGACCGGTCCAGCATAATATGCTGGAGTTCGGTGCACTTGTGTATGAACTCCAACATATTATGCTGGACCGGTATACTTTGCTGGCTCCAGTATAATATACTGGAGACTGGAGCACCGGTGTTCCAAACTCCAGTATATTATACTGGACCAATATACTTGCTGGAACTCCAGTATATTATGCTGGAGTTCTAGTGTACTTATGCTGGAGTTCCAGCATACTTATTCTGGAACTCCAGTATAATATGCTGGAGTTCAAGTATACTTATGATGGACCTCCAGCATAATATACTGGAGTATTTTCCGGGTTTTGAGCAGTGTTTTCGCTCAGATTTATCTTTATATAAAAAGTGGCTAAATTTCGATTACTTTTGAAATTAGGCTATTTTTGAACGACCAATTATAAATCTGGCTATTTTTAAAATTTACCCGTAATAAATTGGTCTAAGCCCATGCAAATTTGCTCATTAAATTAGCTAACCGTAATTTAATATGAGGTTTGGCTCATTATTGCTTAGTAAAAGTTAATATTACTTATTAAGCTATAATAGTTTCCTTTTATTTTGGACTGTTTAAGGTATTTAGGTCATTAAGTGATTAAATTATTGATAAATCCATTACTGTTAGTTTTATGTATGTGATTAAAGTTATGTAGTTTGTTAGTCACCAAAGTGATCAAACTAGATTGTTTAAAATACTTTGATATTTATTTTATGTATGCATTTATGTTTATATAGTTTGTTAGTCGCCAAAGTGATCAAACTAGATTGTTGAAAATACTATGATATTTATTTTATGTGTGCATTATGTTTATATAGTTTGTTAGTTGTCAAAGTGACCAAACTAGTATATTTAAGAAATTACACATGCATAAAATTGTAGTTTATCCATAAAACTAATGAAACGCCTATAATTAAAAATAAATGGATAAATTAATTTTCACTATTGCTAGAACTTAAGGATTTACCCAAAGGTGAATCAATTATTCTATAAATAGTGAATATGATGAGGTAAAATTAATATCCTTTAGTTAAATATATATTGTCTGTCCAAAGATGGCATATATACTTGGTTAAATATATTTAATTACCTATTAAAGACCAAGTGGCATTGAAATTACGATAGTGTGTCGTAGTATTTACCCAAAGGAGAATTGCGATATGCTTTAACTGTTTTGCTGAATCCATATTGATTTGTGAGCATGTATTATCTATTTTGCAGCTATTCCCCTTCATTTGCATGCTTCGTCTGTTACTGTGTTCAATAGATTGAACTTCTTTGAATGGCATGAACAAGTCCAATTCCACTTAGGTGTGATGGATCTTGACTTGGCTCTGCTGAATGATAAGCCTGCTGACATTACTGATTCAAGCAGTGCGGATGAGAAGTCTTTCCATAAAGTATGGGAACTCTCTAACACGCTGAGCCTTATGTTTATGCAAATGAGTATTGCAAACAACATTAAGAGTACTATTCCACAAACAGAAAGTGCCAGGGAATACCTGAAGTTTGTGGAAGAACGTTTTCGTTCTGCAGATAAGTCTCTTGCTGGTAGACTAATGGCTGAACTCACGACCATGAAGTTTGATGGGTCGCGTAGTATGCAAAATCGTATCATCGAGATGACTAACATTGCAGCAAGACTTCACACCTTGGGGATGAAAGTTAATGACACTTTCTTGGTTCAGTTTATTCTGAACTCGTTGCCTCCTGAGCATGAGCTTTTTCAAATTAAGTATAACACTATTAAGGATAAGTGAAATGTTAGTGAATTGTCCAGTATGCTTACTCAGGAGGAGTCAAGACTTAAGAAACAAGGGAGTCATTCAATTAACCTCATGGATCAAGGAGCTGGAAAATGACTTAAAGTGAATGCCAACAAGTTCAAGAAGAAGAAAGCACCTGCTAAAGCTCCACGGGATGCTAACAAGGAACATAAGGAAAATACGTGTCGTTTCTGTAACATGGAACACACTATCAGAAAGATTTCCTGAAATGTAAAGCTTGGTTCGAAAAGAAAGGTACAATTAGTGCTTTTGTATGTTTCGGATTAAATTTAGTAGAAGTTCCTAATAATACTTGGTGGTTTGATTCTAGTAAATTGGTTATGTATCTACTGCGTTGTAGGGATTCCTTACGATCCAAACTACAAATCCAAATAAGGATTTCTTGTTCATGGGAAATCGTATGAAGGCTCCAATTGAAGGCATAGGGACTTATCGTTTGATCATGGAGACTGGACGCCACATTGATCTATTACAAACTCTTTATGTACCTTCAGTTTCTATGAATTAATTTCTCTTTCAAGACTTTATGTTTATGGATTTGATTTAAAGTTTGGAAATGGATGTTTTAATTTATATAAGAATGCCGTTTTTTATGGTTCTGGTTTATATAAATTGAAACTCGATATTGGTTTTTCTGAATCCCTTCTTACTATTCAACGTAATGTTAGAATTAAACATAGTTCACTAGATGAAAGTTCTGCTTACTAATGGCATAGACGTTTGGGTCATATATCCAAAAAAAGGTTAGAAAGATTAGTAAAGAATGAGATTCTTCCGAATCTAAATTTTACTGATCTTACTATATGTTTGGATTGCATTAAGGGAAAGCAAACCAAGCATAGTAAGAGAGGTGCCACAAGAAGCACCCAGCTTCTTGAAGTTATACACTGCGATATTTGTGAACCCTTTGATGTTCCATCTTTTGGTGGAGAAAAATATTTTATCACTTTTGTCGATGACTTTTCACGTTATGGATACATCTATTTGCTGAAAGAAAAATCTCAAGCAACAGATGCTCTCAAAGTGTTTGTTAATGAGGTTGAAAGGCAATTAGATAAAAAGGTGAAAATCATTAGGTCAGATAGAGGTGGTGAATATTATGGAAAATATAATGAATCAGGACAATGTCCACGTCCATCTGCAAAGTTCCTCGAGAAACATGGCATATGTGCACAGTATACTATGCTAGGAACACCTCAACAAAATGGCATTGCAGAAATGCGCGATCGAACACTTATGGATACGGTTAGGAGCATGATGAGTAATTCCTCATTAAAAAATTTATTATGGATGTATGCTCTTAAAACCGTTGTATATTTATTAAATAGGGTTCCTAGTAAGACAGTTTCAAAGACCCCTTTTGAACTGTTGACAGGAAGGAAACCTAGTTTAAGGCACCTGCATGTTTGGGGTTGCCTAGCGGAAGCTAGAGTTTATAAACCACAAGAAAAGAAATTAGATTCTCGAACAGTAAGTGGTTACTTTATTGGTTACCCAGAGAAATCTAAAGGGTATGTGTTTTACCGTCCAAACCATAGTTCGAGAATTGTTTAAACCGGCAATGCAAGATTCATTGAGAATGGTAAAGTTAGTGGGAGTGTTGAAAAATAAAGTGTGGAAATAAAAGAGGTGAGGATCAATATTCCATTACCCACGAATGTGCCTACTTCCACACAAATATCAAACATTGTTCCAGTTATTGAAGAACACTTTGACAA